CAGGAATGCTCTGTTAGGCCTCTCGCCCCTTCCTCAGGTTAAACCCGCATTGTTGGGGGATAGGCCACCTGGGGGTCTTCTTCCAACACCAGGTCAGCAGAGAGTTAACTTGTCCATGTCAAATTTTGTATTTCAAACTAATTCAGTACCTTTACTTGACAGATTTGATTGTTTGCTATCATGCTATAATTATGTTGCTCAATAAAACCATGAACAATATTAAGGGAAATGAGGGGAGGTAGAACCCAGAAAAAATGAGAGCTTGCAGATGTTTACAGTGGTGATTAAATAATAGTTAACTGTGTTATTCTTTGGGATGAGCTTTCTATGAAAGATCAGAAGGATAGAGGAGTGCACTGGTCTTCTACCTCAACATTAATCCTGCGTAATATTCAAAGCCTTTCAGTTCCAGTGCTTTTAAGCTTTGTGTTATTAGTCTGATATCAGATCCTCTTGTGGTTCTTGGTTGCTTTGGAAGCTCCTGTGGAATGAGAAAAAAACCCTAAACATTTTGGAAGACTTGTTGTTCATTGAGAATTTTTTATTTATATTAAGCTTTTGTTGTTATTTTTGTCAAAATTGAGGCATCAGCAAAAAGATACCTTTTAATTTGCTGAAGTGTATCGAAAACCAAGGGGACTGCTGGTGCAGTAAGAGCAGTCCTGAGTCAAACTTTTAAGTATCAGTGCTCCTAGATGCTTAGGATTCATATGTACTACTGATCCATAATGTGATTTGATTTAAAATTAAGTATTAATTGCTTTTATGATTAAAATGAATGTGTTAATCAACAAAACTTGTGAAGTCTGTATAATTTAATGATTTTAAAGTCTTATTAGACAGCAGTATATAGGACTTTCTTATATTCACTATTGGCATAAACATTAAATCTTAGTCACTGCATATGTGTAGTATTTGCCCTGAATCGCAGCTGATACTGTACAGTACTGTTGAAATAAGTTACTGGTTAGGACCTGCCTGAGTCTTTTACGTAAAATGTTTGATGTGAAATATTAGCTCTATTAGCCCACCTTAATTTAGCCCTGTGTTATTTGCTACTCTCTATACTAATTTAACTTAATTAATTTGGTAATATGACATTATTACTTTGTTAATCTGTCCTCTAATTTAACCATGTTTACAGGTCAATACTGATATAGTGGAAAACTGTGTTTTGTTTTGTTTTTTTATAGTATACAGATGCTAAACTCTCTGAAATGCATGCTGGTTTAGAGGTGTTGTATAATCACACAGTTTTTAATGCATTTCCATGGGATTACATCTTTCAGTAATAGCATTCCATTTTAGTACTGGCTATACACTCACCTATTTAAAGATGAAATTTCTATGTCTACATCTCTAGTGTCTTGCATAAATGTCAGCTAGTCAAACAGTATTTGCAAGTTCAGTTTTTTTGTGTATTGTATAATTTATATGAGCATCCTGTGCAAAACCAATTAAATTAATACTTTTTTGCTCAAAAAACCCAACCTGTTTCCAAACAGGGATGTCAGGCACAAAGAGTAAACCTCCACCTCTTCTAGCAGGACCTCCTAAAAGACCTGGTCTCCTAGGATACTCACCCCATCAGCCTTCAAAACGACCACTGCTTGGAGAGAAACCAGGCCTTCTGCCAACACCAGGTGAGAGTGGGAAAGCTTTGTGTCCCTATAGGCAAACCAACAAAAGCCTTGAAACATGGGATTACCAGACTCCTACCACACTACAAAAGAACCTGTATACTCTAACATGGGGACTGCAAAAACATGACCTCACATCTTACTCACTGATTGTATACATGTGTTCTATCATACAGTCCCTTCCATAAACTTACCAAGTTCATTCTTGAAGCAATTCACTTCTTTGCCCCCACCTAATTCAGAAAGCCATTTCAAAGCTTCACTCCTCTGATATTTAGAAATCTTTCTATCTAGCATTATCTGTTGCCAGTTTATAGCTGCTTGATTTTTGTATTGAGGTCATTTTTCAGCCTAAAAAGCTGTTTTCCTTCCATATAATTCACCCCTTGAATGCATTTATAAAAAGCAATTATATCCCCACTTAGTCTCTCTTTTGTTGATCTTAAACCAGCCAAACTCCATAATTTATCATGAAAGATTAATCTCCATTCCCTTAAACAGCTTTGTGGCACTTTATTTTTATTCAGTCTCATTTAAATTAAACTCTTTTGAACACTTATGACTAGAACTGCACATCTATTCTAAATGAGATCTTTCCAATGCTTTGTACAATGGGTCTAGTACTTCCTTGCCTCTAGCGAATACACCTTGCCTATTATAACCTAGCGTCGCATTAGCTTTTTAACACCTGTATCCCACTGGCAGTGTGACACGGGAGATAATTCTGCTTTACTTGTCACTGATAAGACCTTAGTTTGCTCATCTTATTCAGTAGTAGGCACCACACTTTAAGAAAGATGTAGCTAACTTGGACAGATTCAAGACAAGAGCAGCAAAAATAAGTTGTTTAGAAAATGACCTATGAGAGAAGATTGAAGGACTGGTTGAAGGTTGGTTTGGAGTAGAAGAGAAAGCCAAGGGGGGTTCAAAAATCTTCCAATATGTAAAAGGTTATCATATGGAGGATGGTGATCAGTTTTTCTTATTGTTCACTGTAGGGATAGAATGAGTAGTAATCATCTTAATCTTCAGCAAAGACCATTTCAGTTAGATATTAAAATTAAATTAAAAAGTTGTAATTGCAAAACTATTGAAGCACTGGAGCAGGTTGCTTAGGGAGTCTGTGGAATCTCCTTCACTGAAGGCTTTAAAGCAGGGGCAGGCAAAATGCGACCCACGGGCTGGATGCAGCCCTCCATGTCCCTCCATTCTACCTGGTCCGCGATACCACTAAAAATTTTTGAAAATTAATATTTATCTGCCACTGGCGGCCTGTCATGCAGCCTTCGATGGCTTGCCAAAACTCAATAAGTGGCCCTCCACCCCAAATAATTGCCCATCTCTGCTTTAAAGGTAGGGCTAGATAAATTAAATAGCTGTCAGGGATGATCCAGGTATGCTTGATTCTTTCTCAGAACAGATGGATTTATTAGGTGGCGTGCTCTTGTCCCCTTTAGGTCTGAATTGCTTTGATTCTATTGGTAGAAAATAACACCATCTACTAAAGTAACGTGACATCTTGGTGTCACACCTAGGCTTGAAACCTGATTTTAAGATACAGGATATTGGTTGTTCACAAGACAAGTGCAGTTGGGACTGTTTTGTGGGACTATTTTGTTAACCTATCACATAAAAACAAAAACAAAAAAAACAGCTAGTCTGGGATGCTTATTCTGTGACCAGTTACAGCATAAAACCTGTAGCGGTCTGTGGTGCTTTTGTCTTTGCTGAAATAAACGTTGTTTCAGAAGACCCTGAACTGGAGATCCCAATTAACCTTGTAGTTGGGGAAGGAGAGGAGGAGTCTACACAATAGTTGCTAGACCTAGCTGGGTGGGAGCAGATGAACAGATATTAGAACACAACAGTCTTACACTGTTCAATTTATTTTGTCACAGCTGTTCATGTTAAACCAGTGCAGCATCAACGGGTAGTTAAACCAAAGCCTTTGCTTAACTAAGAAGACATCACAGATGCCGTGTTTAATAATGGAATACACCAAACCGGATGGTGACAATCCTGTTCCAAGACAGCAGAGAGCATGATAAACTTGTAATGCTAGTGTCTGCACACTCAGACCAACTTAAATGCATCTCATTTTCTGTTGCACACATTCCTATGAAAACTCTTTTTAAAATTTGAAGAAGTTCTGTTAAAAACAAAAAAATGTTTGTGGAAGGTCAGTATTGCAGATTCATAATTTGTAAGGTTTTCTTTCGTGACTATTTAAATATCTCTCTGTTTTACTAAACTCATCACTGATTGCTTGTGGTAAAATTTCACCTGACTCTTCTGTCTAATCATTTTATATGTAGGTATAGTCGGACTTAATTTGGTACTCTTTCTGGGCAAGGATGAACAAAACTTCTTTTTCTTGTTAAAAACAAAGTCTGTGGGGTGATGGGATCTGCTGTGCATTTACATTCAAAGTGTTCTCTACTCTCTCTGCAGCTTTCTTAACAAAGGTGAAGACACTCTGAACATACCTCAACTCCATATTGAAAGTGTCTTTTGCTTAGCTGACTTCTAATAGTTTTGAAATATTTTTTAAATGAGATCATGTATTTAATACTGTATTATGCTACAAATACTTTACCTTTTCCTTCTCTTGGAAAGTCTTTCAATTTCTATTTATAATTTGAGGTAAAGGAGGACAAGAGATAGAAGCCTTAAGAAAATGTGCTAAGTATACTCATAAATTTATTTTAGGTAAATGATGTTGAAGTCTACTTTAATTTTTGTTGTTCCATGCAAGCCAATAGTGTACTAGATCCAATTTAATTTGGAGCTATAAAATTACACTTTTATAAATATTAAATTTGGACACCCATTCTACTGTGTAGTTTTAATTAACACATGAAAAATAGATGATTTTCATGTGCCAGCAACCAAGGCTAACTAATAACACACTGGTAAAGTTCAAAAAGTTCTAGGGATACTGTATTTAGTCTGAATTTGTGGATTTCCGTTTCCTTTCCCCTGTGTGCAAGAATCCTACACAGGAAAAACTGTTAAATTGACTGCACAGAGAGTCCTTAGTACTACTCACTATAACCAAAATTTTACTCTTTTAAATCTGTTGTTATCATAAGTTATCACTTTGTACAGTAATAGATAAAATGCTTTTTTAGACAGGAGTGAGACATTAAATTGGTCAGAATAAGAGCCCAGGAAAACATGGATTGGAAAAAAATATATAGCTTTTCTGGCAATACTCAACATGTCTTCAGAAATGACTTTAGCCCGTTTAATTCCTACTGATGTATTTATTTTGTTGCTAACTGAGGATCCACAACATTAATAAAATTGTCCTCTCAACACCCATGTAGTATTAGGATATTACACAGATGAGGCTCTAAGGTACAAAGTAAACAACTTCCCCGTGGTCACCTGTAAAGTCTTGTTAGAATTAGTAATTGAACCAAATCCCCTTGATCGCCCAGATAGTGTATTTTAATAACAAGATCATTCTTTCTTAAAGGATTAAAAGTGGGTAGTCTATATTCATTAAGACTCTGATCTTACTCCTGTGAAAACCAATGGAAGTGAGACTCTAAAAGATGTGTATTTGTATTGAGAGAGACACCTCAATGGAAAAATCTTAATAGAAGCAAGATACTGTAGTTCTTACCTGAGTGGAGTTTGTTGAGGTAGTACCCTGCTTTGCCTCCAACAGGCTATTACGCTGAAAGAGTAAGTTACATTGAAATATCGAGTTTGCTATTGCAATGTAAACCCAGAGGATTTTTTCAGTGAAAGAGCTTTAGTGGGTGAAGCTGAGCTGCTGCTCTAACAGACTCAACACATTAAAGTAGTTTGGATCCTTGCTTCCTTTACATTGCTAGTGCAGGCTCTTAAACTGTTTTAAACTCAATTACGCAAGAAGAAAAGTGGTTGCTTCTGCCCTTAATGGATATCTGGCAATTGCAATGGTAAAATACTACTTATTTTTAAATGAATTAAATCAAGGCAGAACTTTTTTATTAAAAGATCATTAACAAACATTTACTGTAATGCAAACTGTATTAAGACAAAGGCTAAAAGTAAATCAGGTTAAGCTGAAACATTTTGTAAAGCATTTCTAAGATCTTAATAGGTGTATATTACCTAGGACTCTCATTTTAAAACAGTTGGAACTGTTTCCCTTCAGGAAAGTAGGGTCTAATAGCTGAAGAACAAGGCAAGAAGATAGATCAGCCTTCTTTTCCTAATATCCCCTCCAGTAGATGGTACATTGAGGCTTCAATGAGGATTTTGAAAGTTTTGGAGATTCTTAAATAGGATGCTTTGCTCATCTATGGTGCCTAATGTACCTGCCAAAGTTAATGCAGGCCATCTTCCCCAAACACCGAAGCAGTGCAGGAAAATGTGTTATTCTAGGTATATGTGTAAATTGAACCAAACCTGGACTGCACTTTTGAAAGAGAAATTAATTTCCAGTTGTTTTATTGTAATGCTAACTTGTAAGTCAGCAGGTAGCTTTTTAGAGGCTTTTAAAAACCTTTGCTTTATGTTGCTTTTAAAAACCTTTTAAAATCCTATATGCTGGTACAGGATCCACATAGCTTCCATTCTGTTTTTTTTAAAGTGCTAATTATTTTGGTAACAGCAATTGTTTTAATTTCACTGGAATAGCTTTTAAGTTGACCAGTATTCTTTGTCCTTTACTTTCAAACTTTAACATAGTTGATAATAAATTATAACAGGCCCATTGCCAGTTATCAGAGACTCCTCTGGTTATATTGTATAAATTGGATATTAATTGTTAAATGTATTCTGTTCAGCTCTCCATTCTAATGACATCCTAGATGCAATTTATTTTTCTGAATAGTCACTATAAACTGGACTTGGGAGCAGAAAAAAAGTCAGGTGAGATTTTAACCAGAAATTTAATTTAGTGCTAGAGGAAAAATGAAAGTAACTTTCACATGAATTTCAAGCTAATATGGACATTATGTTTGCATTTATTTGAACACTTTTCATGCCATCACTTTTAACGCCATCACTTTTCACACCATCACCATCATTTGACTTCACTGTTCCTGAGCTGCCCTAGGGACTCTTGAATTTGTGTTCCGTCGTCTCTCAAAACTGCATTTTGCTTCCTACTCGTCTTAATTTTTAGTTGAATTTGCTTTTCTACATCCGAATTGTAATTGCTTCTCAAGTACATGCCCACATCAGGTTGATCTATTCACTTCTCAGCTTGGATACTGAAGTAAGGCAGAAGTCCTGTGGGTGAAGCCAAGTTTTCTTCCTAGTTCAGAGTTCTAGCAAATAACACTAACTTTAGGGAACAGATGTTAATTGTTTTATTTGCTTGACTTCATTTAATATTAGAGAAGGTGCTACAGATATTTTTGACATTGACTGACTTTTTTGCTTGTTTTACGAAAAAACATGTCCCTTTGGGATGAAGGATCTTGTTTTTCCCCTTTTGCAGTTAACCTAATACAGCATTAGATTGTGATGAATTCAGAACTGTTCTAATGTTTGAATAGCAGCACCCGTGAGAAATTGTGGGGACGGAGAGTGAGAACCATGGCCTCTGCCCAAAATAAATGGAAGAGGGACTGCCTCCTGAGCTCCTTTGAAAGATGGTAGAAGTTGCAAAGAAAACTACCAGGGTGAGAGCAAACCTGTCATCCCTTCCAGTCTCACTAAGGCTATGGTCACACAAACAAGTTACTAATGGGCAGAAAAGGTGGGGCTTTTACCATGTGTCATCTGCTCTGTGGTAACTGCCCATGTGCGTCTCCCTGCTCTGTGGCAGATGAGACCTAACCCACAGAAGATTAGCTATCCTATAGAGCAGTGATTCTCATTCAGCATGCTGTTGCACACTGGCATGCCATGGGATACTTTTAAGGGTCCTGTGGGGTGCTGCACAGTATTAGCACTGTTAGGTGTGCAATACCTACACATGATTTACAGAATAAACCCATAAGATTCCAAATAGAAATCCATAGTGTCAAAAACATTCTGACCTATTGTGGTCTTTCTGAGTTCTTTGCAACAGAGGAATTGCTTTGTTACTTTTTTTTAGTTGAGAATCACGTGAAAGCTAAGAGCTGGCATTTTTCAAAGAGTACTTAGTCTAATGAGGTTGAGAGCCACTGTTACACAGGAGTCTAGACCTTATACTCGGCCAGGAGTGGTACAGAGACTTGAGATGCTGAGATTTCCTTGCAGTAACAGATCAAAGAGTTTCTAGGAGTTTAGAGAGAACCCAGCAGGGTGAATGAGGAAGCAGGTCACTTCCTGCCCTGTTCTCAACTCTTTGTTTATTAATAGGCAGCTGGTTGTCTGCAGGTGAAAGGTATACAGCAAACATCAGTATTTTAAGAGGAAAAATCAGGAGGATTTTGGCATAATCCCAAAGGGAAGTGGTTCAGACTTAGAAAACTTGTAGGTAAGGTTAAATTGGGCTCTGGGAATGAATTAGGCACTGTAACAGCCCCTCTAAGTGATACCATGTAAGAACAATGCAATTATAGATTCATAGATATAGGGTCTTGAAGGGACCTTGCAGATCTTCTAGTCTGACCCCCTGCCCTGGGCAGGAGAGAAAACTGGGCTCAAATGACCCCAGCCAGGTAATCGTCAAGCCTCCTCTTAAAAACCCCCAAGGTAGGAGCCAGCACCACTTCCTTTGGAAGTTGGTTCCAGATCCTAGCTGCCCTGACTGAAGTAGTGCCTTCTAATGTCTAGTCTGAACCTACTCTCTAACAACTTATGGCCATTATTCCTTGTTACTCTGGGAGGCACTCGGGGGGGGGGGGGGGAAAAAGGGCTCCAC